AAAAAAAAAAAAGAAAAAAAGAAAAGACTTTTAGGGTTTATTGCCCAATTGGGTGAAATGTGCTGATCAGATCATGGTTGATTGTCCATCTAGTATTCTCGTTTGGTCTTTGTGACGGTGTATGGTTCCCTATTTGGATGCATCATCCAAACAGCCACTAATGTATTCATGAAGTCTTTGTTGATTTGTGGTACTTCTCTTTATCAATTAAGTTACATATTAGCATAAGCCATGAACCATTGTTCATGAGAACTATAGTTTCTCATGATTAGAAATAGCTTGTATTATTTGGAAATTTGAAGTGCATGTTTTTTTCCCCTGAATTTTCTTTCTTTGGATGTAGCCAGTAATATGAACCTCCATGAGTTATGAGTTGGTTGTGAAAGTAATAATAGGCTTACTATTTTATCCTTAAGATGATACGTCTATGAATGCTGACAAATCCCCTATAACATTGCCTTCATCTCCCTTTCCAGTTTCCACAACTGTTATTATTGAAATATGGATTTGATTGTGATTATTTATTGTTTTAGCTTGATGCATGAGTTTGAAAGACTATATCGATTGTTATGGATTGCACCGCATGTTGGTTAGATTCCTTATTTAGTTTGCTCTTGTTTGTAGGTATATTGATTCTTGCAACGATTGGAGGACTGTACCTAATAAAGCAGTTTTGTCGGCTTTCTTTAAGGTTTCCTTAATTGTTTTAATTTATGTTACATCTATCTGTGTTGTTATAGAACTGGCTAAACTGTGTAAGGTACATTGGAGAAGTCCTACCTCCACCTGTAGCATGTACTTCAAAGTCCACAAACTACATCTACTATGAATGGTTGAATTTGCTGTGACGAGGATGCATCATACCTTTCCTTGCTTGTTGGTGTTTTTATTATGATAAAGTAATGGTAGTAACCATAGAACTCTGCTTGGTCTATCTGATGAGGATGCACCATACATCAAACAAGGCTCTTTTTTCCATCTGTATATGGAAAAGGTGGAGTCGTAGATGCCTGGTATTCAACCATCAGTATCAGTCGTTGCTGTCTTTATACTTCAATTGACCTGGTTTCAGCATTGACTTTAATTTAAATACTTCTCGTCCACCACTGTCTAATATGATGGAAATGGAGTAGTTACCAATCAGTTGGCATTTTTATGATGCAGGCTGAGCTTAAGAAATCAAATAATGAAGAGTCTAGCTTTGTGATCTTCTTGGATGACTTAAAAGGTGTTGACTTCCATCCACTTTACAACGTGTTTGTTCAAATTGATCTTTCAGAGATAGATTCAGTTGACATACTTCAAAAGTCATCATGTTCGTTGGACGGGGATTCTGTTTTACTGTTATTACATGCGGTAAACCAAAAACTTCGGGTTGTGGATCTCCAGGACAGGACATATGGCAAGGATTTCTTATTGTAAGTCTTACACTTCCTCGCTGAAGTTATTGGGTTAATGGGTTCTACTATTTTGCCTAAATTTTACATGCATGTCCTTTTCTTCTAATTGTATATTTGTATTATTATTAGCATCACCAGTGCCAAGCTTAGCTCTAGCTTGAGATTCTGCAACTGATGATATTTGTCTTTTGGTAGTAGTTTTCATTTTTCAAAAGTCTACTCGTGCTGTTTATTTACTACTTCAAATCCCTCTCTCCTTTCTGCTGAAAATGTGAAACAACTCATTCATGGCTTGCTTATGACTTTTACTGTTAGGGGGCTTTCCTTGGGAGGCTTGGCATGCCAAGTTTTAAACTTAAAGTTTTCCCATTTCCGAAAGGTCAACATGATTGGGAAGTTTATGCATATGCGTACGCTCAATTTGGATTTCAGTGCATCACTAACCAGTTTTGGAAAAGATTGCTTTGCTTGTATGCCAAATCTAAAGTGTCTTTCTTTGTGTGAGACAAAAGTATCCAATCTGTGGACTACCAGTGCATCACTTGCAAAACTCCCGTCTTTAGTTGAACTTCGTTTCCAGAGCTGCTTATGCTGTGATGACACAAGGGCTTGTCCTCGATCTTTTGGGGCAAAAGCAGATGAGAGCACTAGTTCAGGTCATCTAGACCATGGATGTGAAAAGATAACACCATTCTTAACTGATGAAGAAGACACTGATCTATTTTCGAATATGGAAGGGGAATTTATCAATGTGTTCCCAGTGGGTAATTATAATCCAATTCATGAAACTATAAGCGAATCCGATGATTCAACAGATAGCGAAGTAGACTTTTCAAATACACATCCTGGCATACATTTATTGGAAGATTTCACTTATGGACCTTGTGTTTGGAATGGGCTACTTGATCTTCCTAATGAGGTAAATATTATTTTAAGGATCATGATGCTTCTTTGTTTTTCTATTGTCTTATTTTGCAATGAAGAATTTGTAGTTTTGTTATGACATTCAATAACCCTGTTCTCTTCCCTTTTTGTCTGATGATAACATTATTCTATCCTTTATTAGATTTTTCCTGGTACTTGGGGATCAGAAGATACTGAAGAAACCTGGTCGAATTCATCCATATCAAGACCTATCTCATGTATTGCTCGAAAGAAGCATCTTTCTTATCACCCTTCACCAATATGCTATGAGAAGCATTATAGAGAATTTTTGATAGCTTCCTTTCCTAATCTGAGAATCCTCGATAACCTGCCAATCAGAAAGACTGACAAAGATAGAGCTGCTATTATCTATTCAGAAAACTTCGAGCATCTACCATATAGAAGGACGAGTAGAGAGAGCGTTGTTAGTATCCTGCAGAACCGTGAGATCAAAGCAAACCGTACCCGCTCTTCGACTTCAGGAAAGTCGCAGTATTCTTATTCGAGGTCACTTGGTGCTTCCAAAGTTGGGTGTGCAGTCTTGCCTTCTTTGCATCCACTTTCTATAACAGCCAGCAGCAGCATACCAAGAGGTGATGGTAGAAAATTTCGTCCACGGCAGTTTGAGTACCATCCTTCCAATTCAAATCTCATGGTTATTGGAACTTTAGATGGTGAAGTTGTCGTTGTTAACCATGAGAGTGAGAAGATCGTGCGTTACATCCCGTCACATGGAGCGATGAACAGTGTTCTAGGACTATGTTGGCTTAAGAAGTATCCATCCAAGGTATACCGTTAACATTTTATGCTTCAGAAGTTAGACCATGAATATACTTTGACTAGATTCATGTGTCGTTCTTTGTCTCTTCTTTTTCCACTTGGTGTCGCTATCGCAAGCATGCCATGCATTTGCCAAAACTAACTTTATGGGAGCCTGATGCATAGGCTAATCCTGTAAGGTTTTATTTGTTTAAAATGATGCAAACATATAACGGTGTTTGTGTTAAGTTAGGGGCCGTTTACCAAACACTCACCCAGTAAGCACTTACCGGTAAAATTCAACACTATCACTTACTTACCGGGTAAGATTTTAGTCAACAAAAACGGCATCCTTGCAACAATTTACCTGGGGTAAGCGTTAACCGTGGTAAGAGTCGTCGCCTTCACTTACTGGGTGAGACTCTTGGTCCTTGCTCGCTCTTACTGGGTAAGATTTTTGGTCCTTACCATATTCATCCGGTAAGGTAATGTGACTTGGTAAGTGCTTATCCGGGCAAGCTTTTGGTAAATGGCCCCAATAGTCTCACCAACCATAGKATGATATGTGCAATTTGATGTAAATCTGGCACCTGAAGGATATATATTTGTGCTTGCATATTATCGAAATGGTCGAATTATGTTTTTGGATGATGGGACAGACCATGAAGGTAAGGTAGAACTTTCTGTTGTGAGGAGCTTGGGCCTGCGCAAGTTTACTTGAATTTTGTGGAAGTCTATGTTGTTCTACATCCTGTTAGCACATTATGTAGAAATTTTTTTTAAGTGTATCTTGGAGTTAGATTAAATTTTTTGTTCTTCCATTAACATCAAACCACATGGTCCCTTGATAATGTGTCTGATATTTATAATAATGCCATTATGGGTGAGATGTCTTGTACTTCAAAATTCATATTTTGAAATGCGACTATTGAATGCAAATTTATTCAGTGAATTTTTGCTATTCGTAACTTTTTAGTGGTGGATTTTAATGATTTTCTTTTCTTTTGCCTCTGGGTTGCATATTTCAGCTTATTTCTGGGTCCGACAATGGTTTGCTCAAACTGTATGATATTCAGCACATCTCTTCAACAGATGCTGGCATCTACCCAAGTGCTGCTTCTGTTGCCTTTGATGAGTTTGACCAATTAACTTCTGTGCATGTCAACTCCTTGGACGAACTGTTTCTTGCCAGTGGATATTCAAAACATGTTGCTTTGTATGACATCAACACGGGTAAACGGCTGCAGGTGTTCACCGACATGCATCAGGAGCACATCAATGTTGTTAAATTTGCGAATCATTCCCCATCTATGTTTGCTACTTCATCATTTGATCATGATGTCAAGATGTGGGATTTACGACAAAAGCCAATTCACCCATGTTACACAGCTTCCAGTAGTCGAGGAAATGTAATGGTCTGTTTTTCCCCGGATGATCATTATCTTCTTACATCAGCTGTTGACAATGAGGTAAATTTAGCATTTATGAGCTACATCTGCTTTTGCTTGAAGCATATAAGGATTACAGAGTTTTGATTAAATTGATATAGTGCTGAAGGTCCTCTTAATGATGAATAAGAATGATTAGATAAATAAAGCATCTGATGATTGTGGAGCTTCAGATTTCTGTTTAGATTTGCACAATTTTGTGCATAAACATGGTTGTCAGTGCAGTTTTATGTCATGTGGCATGCTTTTACACACTTCATGACTGCTTTTGATGGGGTGCTCACAATAATAATGTGATGGGACAACCATAATATGTAGTAAGGAAAAGCATTCAACTTGGAAATGGCCATAGACTTTATTTGACAGTTGGGCATATATGTGGGCAAACCTAGTCTTTGGAATCCCCCACAGGCCACAACAATGTAGAAGTCCTATCCTACACAGAAGCCCCATATAGGATCACCAAGTGGACTTCGAAAGGCACTATCCATTGCAATATTCTACAAACAAGACGCCACCTATATATGCACGAATCGCATCTCTTTTTCCTGGCTAACTTGTACAATTATACTTTCATATGTAATCAACATAGAGTGCAATGTGCATGGTATTGGAACCTTGTAGTATTGGAATATAATATGCTCTGCTTGAATGGATCATGCTGCATTTTAGCAGCTGTTAAATACCTGCATAATTTTCGCAGGTTAAACAACTGCTGGCTGTTGATGGAAGACTTCACCTGGACTTTGGTATAGCTGCAACCGGAAGCTCTCAAAATTATACTCGTTCTTATTACATGAACGGGAGGGATTATATTCTCAGTGGAAGTTGTGATGAACATGTAGTACGAATTTGTTGTGCTCAAACAGGAAGGCGGCTCAGAGATATATCATTAGAGGTATGATGCTGAAGTGACTATTGGCATACTAACTAAAATTTTGTGTTATGAAATGCATGATTAACGAGTTAAAACCTTGATAAAAGAGCACCCATATATGCAAGGCATAGGACTTAGTATCCCTTATATCTAAACTTATGAAGAGTAAACAGCTAAAATAACCGGTCAAAGAAATTACACAGTTATATATGGTTGATGTTGGTTTGATCATCAGAATTAAGTTGTAATCATTTGTACACCTATACATTGTCATGAAATTTTACTCGATAATAGGTTATTGTTGATGCTGTTGTGTAAAATGCATAAGAAATCTGATTATGAGGAAAATGGGCGGGTGGCTAATTTGTTATTTATAGTTGGTTGAGGTTGTGAATGTGATTTTCCGTTTTTAATATGACCCCCACCTTTAAAGACACCTAAATCAGGAAGGTGTTCTGAATAGAGAATCAAGCATCTAGAACTCGAGTTTTCTCCCTCCTCCCAATTTAAAATATATACTTTTTTGACAAGTGCTCTGCCTACAATTCATGTAGGAAAGAGTAGTTCCAGGAACCCGAATTATTACTCCAATCCACTTGAGTTTTTATCTCAGCAAGTGCAATTGTCGTGCCAGCAATTAGCTCAAGAAATAATATTTTATGTAAATAGGAGATGTTGTTGGCTTAGAAGCTGGTTTGTTTAGCGCATTCTGGTATGTGTGTTGGTAGTTTCTTATGACTTGTCATGTTTGTTTGGTTGCTGGTATGCAGGGTAAAAGTTCTGGGTCCTCAATGTTTGTGCAATCTTTGAGGGGGGATCCATTTAGAGTGAGTTTCTCTCTCTCTCTGATCTTCATTGTCTCTCACAAATTTGCGTAGTACCGTGTGATTTTATTAGATGTTATATGCTTGGAGCAATAAAGTGTATTGGCACATTTGCATAGCACACATATTACCTCAAATTTCTGTGTGATTGACACCTTTTGGACAGTAATAGTTAGTTGTGCAAAACCTTTTGTAATTTGTTGTATCTGTGTGTCATTGATATGTTTTATCTGTAGATGGTTGTGTGAACAGTGTGATATTTAGCTCTTTTCCTGAAACATGATGGGGCCTTTGAACTTTTAGAATGCCGTGTCCGTTAGTGGTAGCATCAATATTTGGTGCGAATTGTTTGTTATTAACGTTTTCTTGTGTTTCAGGATTTCAATTTGAGTGTGTTAGCAGCCTATTTATCTCCAAGCTCGAGTCCAGAAATTGTGAAGGTTGGTTTTGTATTCTCGTGTTCGTTATTGCATTTATATATAATAGGAATTATATGGAAGTCTGTGTATGTGTGTGTGCAGGTGAACATGTTGAGTTCCAAGGATGCAGATAAAGAATGCTTGAATTCCCAGCCAACCCAGAGTTTAGGAGGAGCATAAATTGTGGTGTTGTATGTATGAATTACCAAATTATGCATCTATCTGCATATAACACAAGACGAGAGAAAATTGTGGAGCCAATGCTTCTCCATGATGCCTTCTTTTTATGTTGTACAGTATACAAGACATTAACATAACCAAATGTTGTCCTCTCTCTCTCTCTCACTCTCATTGCACCATACATATACAAATGCATACGTACATCTTATTTACACACACACACTCTCTCTCTATATATATATACACAGAGAGAGAGAGAGAGAGAGAGTAAATAACTGATTATATAACATGTGATTTTATAATATATATATATATATATATAGAGAGAGAGAGAGAGAGAGAGAGGGGTACAAACAAGAACAAAGGTAAAGTAAGAGAACACAATAATTGATTATATAATATGTGATTTTATAATATATATATATATAGAGAGAGAGAGAGAGAGAGAGATAAGTTCGAACGAGCACAATGATCAAATAACACAATCGTGAAATCGTATGTGATTTTATATTGAACTCACGTGTAAAATAACATATGATATGCTTGACCTTGGCCTTGACCTTCGTTGTAGGCCAAGTTACCCGTGCACTTATGCGTTGACTGTGTTCCATTATCTCATGTTGCTTCAGTGATTTGCGTTGACTGTGTTCCATTATCTCATATGGCTTCAGTGATTTGCGTTGACTGTGTTTCGTTATCTCATGTGGCTTCAGTGATTTGCGTTGATTGTCTTACATTATCTCATGTGGCTTTAGTTTAAAATCACTGTGTCATATGATTGTTCTTGTGTAATCTTATTTTGACTACGTTCTTGTTTGATCTTCCTTATGTATATGTGTGTGTTTGGAGGTTCAAACAAGAACAAAATCTAAGAGTCATACAATAGCGACTATATCACATGTGATTTTATAATAAAAATCATGTGATTCAAGAACACTCAACACAGGGGTATGCATGTGCTTTTGGCCCGACAACCTCAGAGGTTTGACCGTTCTTTAATTACATCTGATTTTTATTACAAAATCAAATGTTACATAGATGTTCTTATATTTTATTACTTTAACCCTGTTTTTCATTTAAATCCCCTCTATATATTATATAACCTATATAGTATAAACTCACATATATTACCAAAGAAGCTAAGAGGTTGTTTGTTTACCTCTTAATAGTTCCATTAAGAGGCAATATATGAATTGCTAAGTGGTGAATTTTGTTTGGCAAAAAAAAGGTCCGACTCTTAATGGTTCTAAAACCTTTTGAATGATTTTGTATCTTAGGTCTCCCTTAAACATTCAGCGTCTAACTTCATTGTAAACAATTACCAAATAATTATATTTCATTTTGCATTATATCATGAGAGCCTCTTAATCATTCTGACCACTTAATAATTCTGCACCAAATCATTCAGTAACTGCCAAACAGCCCCTAATTAAGCTTCATTCATAATTAGTAATCGATGCGACCAAAATCTACCGTAGAGGACTCATGACTCAAAACATGCAAAGCATGAGCCATCTTTAACTTGACATTTACGGGTTGTTTATCAAATGTTTACCTGTTAAGTGCCATTACCTTATCGGTTTAAGGACCGAGAATCTTAACTAACGGTAACTAAAGGTGAAGACTCTTATCCAATTACCACTTACTAGGTAAATTGTTGCATATAATGTCGTTTCTATAGACTAAAAACTTAGCTGGTAAGGTAAAGTAATAGTGTTGTATTTATTGGTATTGATTCTTGGTAAGTGTTTGGATTAATAGCCCCTAGTATCTTTCAAGAAATCATAAGGCATCATGCAAAATAAGTTAACTGATACCGTTTCTTTGTGGGGAATGTACAACGAATTCAATCGTATATCGAATCATTAACGATCGTGAAGGTAAGCGTGGTGTTCTTACCCTAACTTTCATCAAACGACAACAATTTATTTAAAAAATTTATAGTCGTTAATGAAAAATCATTAAATTTTCTCAATTTCATCTTATTAAACAATATTTTTAGTTATTTTACTTGTTAATTAAATACCTATGTCAAAACAAATATCAACTCATATATTGTATTTTTCTTTTTCTTTTTTTAAACAGATGATGTATATGTAAGTCCATATATAACGACCAAGGGATGGTATTCTTCTTTGATCTACGTGACAACACGTTTATTACGATACCCAATCAAATACGATAATCGAAAAAGCTAGAGAGACGTACAAAACGTTTATGATATATATGGCATCGTAATATTGTTTGTATTTGGGAAACTTGATCGATTAAACCGGACTTGGACCATGTTGGGGGTGGGGGAGGTTGTTTCACTTAGAACCCATTTACCAAACACTTATCCGGTAAGTGCTTACTGGTAAAACTTAACACTATTATTTACTTACCGGGTAAGATTTTAGTCCACCAAAACGACATCGTATGCAACAATTTACCCGGTAAGCGCTTACCATGATAAGAGTCGTCACCTTCACTTACCGGGTAAGACTCTTGGTCCTTGTCTCGCTCTTATCGAGTAAGATTCTCGGTCCTTACCATATTCATCCGGTGAGGTAATGTTACTTGGTAAACGCTTACCCGGGTAAGCGTTTGGTAAACGGCTCCTAATATTTTGGTTATTCAATCGTTGTTTTAATTTAAATAAAACAATGTTGAACCAAGGTTCTAAATGACCTGAAACGTGACGTAGAGGTAAGATCAAGCCTCAAGTCTTAGGAGCCATGATAAGACAACAATATTTTTCAAAGAATGACTTATAACAAAAGATTTATATATCATATATCATTATATTTATATACACAGACAGACATATTTTCTACTATTACTCAATGAGTAAAAAAAATTAAACAGCTTAAATTAGGTTATATACTAAAAATATAAAAATAAGACACTAAAACTAAAAAAATCGTGTCACAAAGGGATTGGCATGGTCAAAGTTCAGTGGAACCACCATTAGGGCTCCAACGTGACATGGGAAGCAGAAAAAGATATGAGAAAGCGTTACCCTCACTTTTTTGTATAGAATATGATTTCGAGGATGAAACTGTTCCCAAGGTTGGAAGAACTGTAACACCCAGAATTTCGATGATTTTATAAATTCGGGTGTCATCCATATATTTCGGCTTCAAATTTGTTTAAATTAAGTTCCCTTAAACAGTTTTTGGTTTGGGTGTTTGTTGGTACTTGAAACTCAAGAATATGAACATTTTGGGGAGGAAAGAGTGAGATACGTAGCTTGCCACGTGGCTAAAGCAGTGGCAAAAGCCGTGTTACTCGCTGTATGTGTTAGGCTCATTTGACCAAGCGACTTTTGGCACAGCTAAAGCCGCGACCAAAGCTGCGGAAATGCCTGGAGGTGCGATTTAAGAGTTTTCAAGCTAGGTTTTGTCCATATGATGTAATTTCTAGCAAATGAATATAACTGGGATCATCAGGGCCCTTAAACTGTAAATCATGGTTGATTGAACTCATTGGCATTTATCCGTAGTATGACTCCATAACATGGAATTGTGACGTACTTTTGTGGTTCACCACTACCTATTGATATTGTGTTTTGGACTTTATAATTCTTATTTGAAATATGTGAACTTGGGATACATCAATCTTATAAACTTTTACAGTATTGGTCAGGGACGGACCCAGAATTTTTTTTATACGGTGGCACCATTTGACCATAAGAAAAAAAATATATGAATTTTTTTTTCAAACGATGACACCGTTTGACTATAAAAAACAAATATACGGAATTTTTTTTTCAAACGGTGGCACCATTTGACTAAGAAAATGACACTAATATGATTCGGACTTGGGTGTGAGGTGGAATAAAAGCCTCGCCGAAAAGCATCTTTCAACCGTAGCAGTTGCAACAGGCAAAACCAGTGTTAGTTTCAATAACCGATAGACTAAAGGATGAGAAAGATGCTTTCTTGTTGCCACAAATGCATGTATCCCATGATTCCCACATTGGTCTCTGAACAAGTAATCATTAATCAGTAATCAGTAATGAGTAATATAAATAAGTAAATCTAATCAACTTATCAACATATGAAACCTAAACATCGTAAACAGTAAACAAAAAAGAATGATCAATTTGTATAACCTAAACAATTAATCAAGTAACATTTGTATAACCTAAACAATTAATCAAGTAAATAGTAAATAATCAACTAAACAGTAAACAKAAAAGAATGATCAATTTGTATAACCTAAACCTAAATCAAATAAGGTCACAGATTTGGGGCTTTACCAGTTTACCGCTTTAGTTAATGCCTTAATGGACCATTA